TGATAAGTGTTAAAACACCTGTAACCAAACGACATGCTGTATGTGATGATGGGTTTTTTTTCTCTTTTTTTTAATTGTTGTGTGTATGTGTTGTCTATGTAATAAAAATTTAAAAAAAATATTTAAAAAAAAGTTGGTTTTGGAGAAGAGGAGAAGGAACTGAACGAAGGGAGGGAGGCCAATATCCCAGAGGGAGGGGGAGAAGGAAGGAGCATTTCCCCTTCAAAAATGGGAAGTTGAGATGAGGCTGGAGATGGGCGTTGTCTTCCTAAGTTTCCAGGCTTTGATGACCTTTTGGGAGGGAAAATGCAGCCACCAACCTTCTCCCCCGTCACCTTGTTTGGCAAGCAAAAACAAAGTCTACGGTTCACGGATCAAAAGAAGTTAGCCAGGTCTCCCTTCTGAATCCGATGCTCTAGATTGTGCATTCCAGGAAACCCCATAGAGAAAGAAGCCTGAAGGCCAAGGGAAATCAAGGCCGCCATTCTGCTAGTAGAGCATCCAACGGGCCTGGAGTAGCCCTTCTACTGTCTCCCCCCCTCCCTCCTCCACCATCTCCTATTTTTGGAATAAAGAATATGGGTCCAATCGAGCTTTACAAGCTGACTTTATGAAAGGCGTCTTTCAAATGGCGACTCAGGTTGGGAGGTGACAGCCCCGATCGGACAGAAACCGCACCGTCCGGAGTGATGAAAAGGGGCCTCCCATTCTCAGAGCCGCCTTCCCTCCGAATGCCAAGGGGAACCCCCCCCCTCGCTTGCCAGGGGCCCCCCTCGGCTGAGGCTCCCCAGTATTTCCTACCGAATACCCGCCGTCTTCTCTGCCAACAAGATGGCGCCAGGAAGCCTTGCTCTTGAGGTTAATCATTACCTCATTTGTTGGACCGATTGAGCAAGAGAAAATGGAGGGGGGGGGGATTGGCATATAAAATAAAGAATTATCTCAAGGGTTGGGATTTCATACCCAACCGCAAATGCCAAAGCGGAGGGCCGATTCTCTTGAAATCAACGTTTCCTCTTTTTTTTTTTTTAATGTGATGCAAACAGAAGACGAATGCTGGTCTCAGTGGAGAAATGGGCCACATTCCTGTTCTTAGATTTAGATTTATTTTATTTGTATGCCACCCTTTTCCGTGAGGGACTCAGGGCGGCGAACAACTCAAGGGGGGAAAGGGAACATAGAAGACAATACAAGTGATTAAAATAACCAAGAATCACACAGCCACACGATTCGAGAGGGGAAGGGAACTCNATAGATAGATGATAGATAGATGATAGATAGATGAGATAGATAGATGATAGATAGATAGATAGATAGATAGATAGATAGATAGATAGGGAGAGGGAGGGAGGGAGGGAGGGAGAGACAGAGAGGGAGGGAGGGAGAGAGAGAGAGAGAGAGACGGGGGTGGGAAGAATTAGCCAGGCTGAAAGGTTGTCAGTCCCCTACCAAGATAGTCACAGTGGTGGATCCTCCTCTTCTCCAGTTCTGGATTGTTCCTCCGGTTGAACTTGGGGGTCGGCAGGATGAGGTGTCCCTGCGTGATGCCCTTGATGGGGCTGGGCCCAGAGGCCAGGTGTCCCGGGGGCTCCAGTTTGAGTCCAAACGTGGCCTCGTAGGGGGGTGGAGGCGAAATGGTATTGATTGGCTCAGGCCGGTTCTCGGGGCTGCTGGGCTGGGAGTTCGGGGGCGAAGGGGGCAGGCTCACTGCTGGGACGGGGTAGAACTCCTCCGGTACACTGAAACCACTGAGGTCTTGGGAGCCCGACGGGAAGGACCTGAGCAGCCCTGCTGGCCGCAGGGGCCGGGCAAGAGTCCTGGAGTCCAGCATGGAGCTGCCAGTAGACGTGGCCATCCCGTGGAGGCTGCCGGAGGCCGTGGCGCCACAGGTTGAGGAGGCCGCAGGGCTCATCTCCCCTGAGAGCTGGTAGAGCAGGCTTGGCTGCGGGCTGATCGAATGGGGAGCTTCAGGGCAGGGTAGCTCTTGTTTGACAAAGATGCTACTGGCGGCCACAGAGTGCGGCACGCTGAAGACGCTGGTGAAGTCCGGCAGGGTCTGGATCGGCCCACTGCTGACAGGGCAGGGCTGGGCAAAGCAGGGCTCCATTTTGATCTGGGGGAAGGGCACCGAGGGCTTAGCCGGCCGGTAGATTCCCGTGCGCAAGTGCGTGGTGTCCGGAAGGATCACGTTGATGTTGACGCTGTACGGGGCCGACGGAGGCTTTTCAGTGGAGAAATACTCGTCCACCACGGAGGCGCTTTCCCGCCGATACTTCTTGTCCGTCGCCGTCGGGGCGGGGGGCATCTGGCCAGAGAGGTACTTGTCCATCTCGGTCCGTGCCTGAGTGGAAGCCCAGAAGAGGAAGGAACAGTCAGGAAGGAAAGGCCCCAGGTCTCCGAGCAGCTGGCGTCCCCCACCCTGGCCCAGGTGCCCGATGGCAGCCCCCATCCCAGTGGTGCAATTCAGCCAGTTCAGTTCGGCCGAACCTGTAGCAGCAGCTGGGGTAGGCTCTGCCCACCCACCCTCCCGATGTAATGCGCGAGCACCGCACATGCGCAGAAGGCAGTGCGTATGCCCAGATGCAGAACACAAGAGCGAAACACATTTGCGAACCGGTAGGGAAGGTGAATGAACCCCACTGCTGCAGGAAGGAAGCTCCCGCCTTCCGTCCGCAATGGGGAACAGAATTTATTTTGCTAAGCAAGGCGGTGGTTAAGTGGGTGCTGCCTGATCTTGTTTCTTTTGCCACAGTTGTTAAGTGAATCACTGCAATTGTTAAGGGATTCCGACTTCCCCCGTTGACTTTACTTGGGGGAAGCTGCCTGGGAGGGTCCCAAACTGCCATCCCGGGATGATGCAAGGAGGGTTTTACAAGGGCCCAATTCTTATCACAGGACTGAGGGGATGCTGTGAGGGTCATAAATGGGAGGAACCAGTCATAAGTCAATTTTCCAGTGCCGTTGTAACTTCTAAACAAGTGGTTGTAAGTCAAGGACCACCCATCATTCTGCAAAACACTTGGTCAAGTCCTGGAAATGAGGCTCCTGATATCCCATCAACACCATCAGCTCACATTTGGCTTCCATTCTTTTGTCTGGGTTGATAGAGGCCCCTGATGGTGAACCTATGGCAAGTGTGCCTCTCTGTGGGCACGTGTGCCGTCGCCAGCTGCTCATCTGGTTTCTGGCCAGCTGATCTTCATGAGTGCCAGCACACTGAAAAACGGCCAAAAACAGCCAAAAAACAGACCGTTTTAGGGCAATTTTTCAGGTAAATGGCCAATAAAACAGCCTGAAAACAGCTAAAAATTGACAAAAGAAATCCTGAAAATGGCCAAAAACGGCCAAAAAATCATCCTGAAAATGGCCAAAAAAATCCTAAAAACAGCTAAAAACGGCCAAAAAAACATCCTGAAAATGGCCAAAAACGGCCAAAAAAACCATCCTGAAAATGGCCAAAGTTCCTAAAAACGGCTAAAAACGGCCAAAAAAACATCCTAAAAATGGCTAAAAATGGCCCAAAAAACATCCTAAAAACAGCTAAAAATGGCCAAGAAAGCATGCTAAAAATGGCCAAAAACGGCCAAAAAAATTCCTGAAAATGGCCAAAAAACCATCCTGAAAATGGCCAAAAACGGCCAAAAAAACATCCTGAAAATGGCCAAAAACAGCCAAAAAAACCATCCTGAAAATGGCCAAAGTTCCTAAAAATGGCTAAAAACGGCCCAAAAAACATCCTAAAAATGGCCCAAAAAACATCCTAAAAACGGCTAAAAATGGCCAAAAAAACATGCTAAAAATGGCCAAAAACGGCCAAAAAAATTCCTGAAAATGGCCAAAAAAACATCCTGAAAATGGCCAAAAACAGCAAAAAAACCATCCTGAAAATGGCCCAAAATGGCCAAAAAAACCATCCTGAAAACAGCCAAAAACGCCCAAAAAAACATCCTGAAAATGCCCCCCCCCCAAATTCCTGAAAATGGCCACAAACTGCCAAAAAAACATCCTGAAAATGGCCAAAAAACATCCTGAAAACGGCTAAAAACGGCCAAAAAACCAGCCATTCACGTTCTGTCCAGCTGATCTTTGGATTTCTGGAAGACCAGCTGCCCAGCATGAATGTGCGTGCCGGAAACCCGAAGACCAGCTCACTGGTGTGCTCAGGCACATCCATGCACACATGTTCCAGTTTGGGCACTCGGTGCCGAAAAGGTTCGCCATTACTGATAGCTGCTTTCTGATACACCACTTAATACATGCTTTCTACTAACTTTCTTTTTTAAAATATTCCGTTGTCTTAACAAGCCTTCCTAAATAGTTATACAGATGGTTGCAATAACACTTTGAGGAAAAACGTTGAAAAAAAAATCAAAACAAAGGTAACTAAAAACAGAAAGGAAACTCAATCAATCTTTACCCCCCCCCCCAAAAAAAAACACACAAAAAAACCATCCATTGGACAGAAACAAACTTTCAAAACTTTAACTTTCAAAAATCCATGGATTAAAAAGCAAATCCCACAGCTGTTCCGTGGGGGCAAACTTTCTCTCTGTGCAAATGCCANTCACTTTGAATTGTTCGCCGCCCTGAGTCCTTCCCGGAGAAGGGCGGCATACAAATAATAAAATTCAATTCAATTCCTGGCTTTGAAAGTTGGCCCCACCTCCCTGCCTTGGGAGAAATGAGTTTGGGAGGCAGAAGGTGATGAGGAGGCTCAGACAGACAGCCAGGGTAAGAGGAGCGTGAACAAGTGTGCTCAGTGAAAACACACACACACACACTTGCCAAACTCTGTGAGCCTACTGTCCTCCATTGAAAGGAAGACCAGGGAACTGGGTGCCTGTAAGCTGCAGACCAGGCTCTGGGTGGGCGCAGAAGAGAAGCTAGCCTTGTACTAAGATTCCTTTGCCCCCCTCCCACTTTGCTGGCCACAAAGGGCAGAGATTGGACACACTGCCCCTCCCCAGCCCCCCTGAACTCTCCCCCCCAGCTCTTTCCTTGACCCTCCTCCCAACTTTCGGAGAGGAGAGCCCTTCCTGGGGCACAAAGCCATGATGGGAAGCTTGTTGGCAGAGTTTGTGGGTCTCCTCTGGGTCAGGGAGCCTGGCAGTTGGTCTGCTGAGGGAGGCCTGAAGGGGCTACTGCCCCCCTGGAGGTGAATCTGATGCAAAGTATTTTGCTTGGAGGGGGGCAGAGGGAGCCAGCCCCCCCAGGGGGGGAGATCTCCCACACTCTTTCCTCCCTGGGGCATCTGACAGGGGCCCTTCCTGGGCAGGGAGGAGAGGGGGCAGTGCCAGGATGCCAGGGGCAGGGAAGGGCAGGCAGCCGAGTTTCTGCACAAACTGCGGTGGGAGAGGAGGCTGAAGAGAGAGGACCCCACTTCGGGGAAGAGGAACCGCGGTGCCTCTGGCTATTTAAAACCGCTTTAAAAGAGTTCAAGGCAAGAGAAAACCAATTAAAAGAGAATTAAATCCCGTGGGCTGAGATAATGAATGGGAAACCCATTCCAGAGCACGTTTCCTCCGTCTAGGTGATCGGTGGCCTTCTGCGCGTTGGGGAGCCATCCCAGAGAGCGGCTCCTTGCGGGGGTGGGGAGGGATGCGGAGCCGGCCAGGAGGGAAGAGGAGCCGGCGGGGGCGAGTTGGGGCAGGCGCCAGCCCCAGAAGATCGGAATCCCGCAGCCACAAACGAGGCGGCCGCAGCAGGGGAAGAGTTAAGGCGGTGCGTGCGTGTGTCATGTTGCAGGAATGCGCCTATTATTCCTTTCACCTCTGGCCTCCACTGGGAGGAGTGTTTGCGAAGCTGGTTTCTCATGGAAACGATTCTTTAAAAGCAACGAAGCTTCAAAACACGGGTAATAACATTTACCTTGGCCGGATATCTTGACAGCAACCGGCCCGGGCTGGAGTGGATGACTGCGACGGGCCGGAGCGGGGCAAGAGCCCTCTCTGGAGCAGCGTGGGATTCAGCACCCGCACCGCGGACCGGCCTGGGCATAAGGCACAGAGCACCCAGCAAGGGACCCCCCCATCCCTGGCTCCCCATCACCCGGGGAGATAGCATCGAGGGGGAAACCCACAATTCATGGGCTCTCTGGGCCCCCAAATCTTTTCAGAGCCCCTGTGTGTGTAGATGTGGGGAGGGCTCCACTGGCCAAGCCGCTGGGCAGAGAGCAGGGGCACTGATCCCACAGTGAACCTCGGTGGCAGCCAGGCTGGCTCTGCCACTTCCTGCCTAACTGCCATCTCACCTTTCCCACACTTGCAATCATACCTCAATGTTCCCTGCGGTATCAACAGGAACCCAGTGTTTACCGAGCGGCCCTGGTGCCAGGAGGGGGCAAGGCCCACCTGGCAGCAGGAAGTGGCTCTGGTTGGCACCTCTGCCCTTGCCCACCACTCGCCAGTCCTGCACAGCACCTGAAGGGATGGAGTGAGCATTGTTGAATGCCCCCAGATCCCCCAAATCTGCCTCCTCATTTCCTGGAAGAAAAGGGATCCCTTCTTGGCTTTTGGGGGTGTGTGGGGGCGAGGAGAACAGTCTTTGTGTAGGGATTTCCCCCCCCCCCAGCCACTTCCTCCCTTCCAGCTGGGGAGGGGGCGGCAGGGGCTGCCCTGTCCTGAAGCTGCTTCCTGGGGTGGGGGTTCCCCTCCACTCGCGGAGGCGGGGGAGCACGGAGAAAGCTGCAGGGCCTGAAAGCAGGTTGGAAGGGAGGAGAACGGGAGGGGACCCCCCCGCTGAAAGTCTGTTCATAACCAGGAAAGCCTCAGGTGATCAGATGGATCCTGGTGAAAATGCACCCTGGAAAATGGTGTGTCATTGCCCCCCCCCCACCTCCTCAGGTGGAAATCTTGACTGGATCGCTGACTCATCAGTATCTGCCTCAGTGGTTGTGTGAGTCTCCCCTTCTGGGGAGGGGGGGGCTCAGAAGTCTCTTAGTGGGACACGCTCGGACTTGTGCAGGGTTTGAAGTGTGGGCTGACTTACTTTTCGGGGCATTGTGTAAAAATCGATGCTGCTGAAAGGAGGGCACAGAACTCTGCCGTTCAAGACTCGGGGCCAGCCTCGCTGGGAAGAGAAATCGTTGTGCCTAATCCATNTCCTTCTCTACTTCCTCTTCCTCTCTCCTTCTCCTCCCTCCCCTTTCCACTCCTCCTTTCTCTCCCCCCCTCCTCTCCTATCTCTCTCCTTCCCTTACCTCTCTCCTCTACTTCACACTCTTCATCTCATTTACATGGTGTATTTCTGCTTCTGAGCAAGCTCCATTTTTATGTGGATGGTATTTATAAACCCTTTTCAATATAAATATCCTTTCTCTCCCCCCCTCCTCTCCTATCTCTC